ACCATTAAATATACTAAATCAGCACTTAAAAAAACTATAACTACCAAGGCCATCTCAAACAGGAGAATCTTTTATGAGACTAAAGTTAAAAAAAAAAAAAAAGCAACAACAAACAAAACTTCATTCCAGCAAGTCCAGGTTGAGTTCGATGTTCTTTCTAAAGTGACAAATGCGTAAAAAAATCAAACTTGCTTGAACCAAGCACAGCAGCACAGATCCTATTGAAAAGCTACTTGTAGAGGAGAGAAATAGAAGAAAGAATACAAGATTTGACTAGTAAGCTTTATGTGTGGATTAAGTTGTGTGCATGTGGTGAAAATATTGTCAAAATAACCTTTAGAGTCACATACAGTTTCCCGTGAAATATGGATATAAACACGCTATTTTTCAAGAAGTCGCAATGAATTGGCCAGTTCTTTGTCCAGCATTCCTCTGTGCCTTTTTTCCCCCCAAATAAATAATGAGGGTATTTGCTATGTTGTTTTCAGTGACTCAGGGTAGAAGACCAGAATTAGAAGAACTGCTTTTTATTTTGGGTTGTGAAACCAGTTTTTATTAGTTCCATGAGTAAAAATGTGTCTTTGTTCTTTTATAGGTAAATGAGAGAGTATCTTTGTTTTTCAAATCCTTGAGTTACAAAGAAATGTGAAAGATTAGTTTTTGTGCAGAAAGCTCTATCTTTCCCTCACTGGTCTGGCTATGGGTTTTCTTTTCAGTCTCATAGTGACACGTTGGTACTGTGTTCCTCTGAATTGCTTTTGTATTTCTTGTTACATACTGAGCAGCACATCTCTCTGTAGCTCTGATTTTCCCGTGTGTTGGTATTGTGTGTGTGCACGCCTGCATACGCACACATGTGCACCTGTCATTTCGGGTGTCTCTCTGTGTTCAGATTCTCCTGTGTTGTCTCATGGTTCCCTGTCTTGGATTTTTTTTGTCTTTTGTCTTTTTATCGGTACCGGGGATCGAACTCACGACTGCCTGCTTGCAAGGCAGGCGCTTATGCCGCTGAGCTAAATCCCCAGCCCCTGCCTTGGATTTTTATGTTTATTTTCTCTTCATCTTTGTCATAGAACTGACCTTTATTTTCCTGTGTTCTGAATTTTTCTTGTTTCAGTCAAATAGGCTAATAATTGAATTCTGATACAGTTACTGTTATTTTTATTAGAGGCTGGTTTAGTACAATGGCAAATACCCCAGAGAGTGATGGAAGACCAGGTTTAGAATCAGGCCCATGTATTTATTGTATAACTGACAAAGACATCTCAATTCCTGAATTTTGCTTTTCTTGATTATAAAAGAGGAAAAATACATAAGATATAATGATATGCCAAATGGTGATGGCTGTTTGGACAAGGTAGAATTTTCATGTTTTTGTTACATGTAGACTGTGTCTTCTATAAAAGTTCTCTTAGTGACTGACATTTCAGGGACAGCTTGGTAATTCCTTCTCACCTTTATCAAGTGTGCCTGATTGTTTCACAGCCTGTGTCCTCCTTCCCAATCACCTCCTGATCAGGCATCTGGAAGGGGAAGCGAGGTTGTCACAGTCCACTTAGAACTTTTTGACAGAAAGGCATTGAATAATGGGAGTGGTTTTTGTCTTTTCAGTGCCCAGCCTTGTGGCAGTTCTTCCCCTATCTGAAGCGTGGAGAAATTCAGTGAGGGTATTGATTTGTGTTTAGATGGAATGTAAACTGTGCATCCATTTTGTGAAGCATTTAAGTGTCTGTCTGGCCACATTATTGAAGAAGTAGTAGTGAGATGACTTAATGTGCAGTTGATGGTGGAATTTTAGGTCCTTAGTTTTGTTGACTACTAGTCCTTATGGTTCCGTGTGTGTGTGTGTGTGTGTGTGTGTGTGTGTTGTGTGGCTGTGCACTTAAGCGCTTACCACTGAGCCACAGTCCCAGCCCATTTTATTTTTTATTTTGAGGCAGAGTTTGCTAAGGTTAGACTCCAACTTACAGTTCTTCTGAGTAGTTGGGATTATAGGTGCCTGTACATGTTTTTAAGTTATGAACAAAGAATAAGAAATCAAGGAGAACAGAGGGAATAAAGCATTTTAAAATTCATTAAAATCAGTTTGAAGTGACGTTGGTCAATCATTTGGTGAGTTACAACTCTCCTGGGTACCTGTAGATACCTTTCTGCTCTGGAACCTCCAAATCTCAGGAAGCATCCAGCAGCAGGTGTCTACAAGAGGTGGTTTCCCCCTTGGCTGCTGTTGTTTATCAATAGTGATTTCTCGCTCCTTTAAGGGACTGATAAAGAAGACTGTGGCAGGAGGGAGGGAGAGAGAAAGAGGGAGCGAGAGAAAGGGCACAAGAGAGGGAGAGCTATATATACATGTATGTATTTATGTGTGTGTGTTTGTATGTGAAGACATTTCCAAAGCCTTCCAGTGTTTCTGTGATATGATTGTAGTTTCCATGGAAGTGGACGCAGCATCCCTGCAGGAGTCCATTTCTGCTGCTGGCTTCTGGTTCTTGTTTGTTTGTTACCATGGAGACTGCCTAGAAAGTGGCAGGAAAGCCAAAAGTTTAAAAACCTGTAAGTTAATTATGAAGTATCGGTACAGTCATATTTAACCATAGCTAGGTGTTGCATAACTGGATTTTTGAACCTGAAGGTATTTTGTGAGGCAAGTTTATTTTTTTGATACAGCAGATTTTAAAGCTTTATTACATAGTTTAAATACTCAGAATTAAAACAAACAAACAAAAAAAGAAACCACAGTTTCTGAACCACTAGTTTTAAATGGGAATTTAAGTTGGGAGTTGAAAGTGTAGACTGAAACGGGGGTGGGGGGGGCTAACGACCAGGAGTAACAGAGCCCAGAAGAGCAAATAGGGATGGGAAGGACCTGGTGTGGAGGCTGGTGAGTGGCTTTCACTGATGCGGTGGTGTGGCTAGTGAGGTGATTTCACATGTTATTTATGCCTGTTTTCCAACTGGGTGGAAAATCTCCCACTCTCTCAATCATCCCAATCTCCCAATCATCCCTCTCTTGGATTAAGAAAATGAGGAATGAAGAAGAGGAGGAAGAGGAAGAAGAAAAAGAAGAAGAAAAAGTAGCAGCAGACTTACATTTTCATTGGGGCTTGAGGAGTTGGAGAATTAATAAATCTAGAGGGTGCCATAATTGAAAAGCAATAGAGCCCCTTCTTCCCCTTCTTCCTTCTTCTTCTATAGGCAAAACCAGTTGTCTGTATGGGCTACTCATGGAAGGACAGAAAAGATGGACCCGTAACGTGAAAGCTGGCTAAGTTATTTAGCAAAATTGCAGTCTCAGCTCTGCCGCAGTTTACCGTGAGGTCTGTATTCGGTCAGGATTGCTGGGTTTATATGCGTCGAAACCTAAATTTGAACTACTTTAGGTAAACAAGGGCAAGCGTGTAGATTGACCTGAAATCAGGAAACCCAGGAAGACCAGGGTTTCTGGTTTTTAGTTTCTCACGTCTGCTTATTCTAATTGGTCTGCTGTACCTGGCACCCCTCTGGGTCCAGTCTCTTCTCTTTGCATTGGCAGAAACCCGTGGCTGGCCCTTTCCGCTCCACCTTCCGGCTTCAGTAGCAGGCAGCATCACATCCAGTTTTGTCTTGCGTGGATTCCTTCCCTTTTGGGATTGGCCCGGTGTAGGCAGGGAAGCCCACCCCGGGCTCAGTGACCTTAGTGACAGGAGGCTGAGCCCTGCAGCTTTCCTTCCAGCAGGAGGGTCTGAAGGGGCGGAGAGCTGGTTCTGGGAGCCAGGGAGACGATGCTGTGCAGGCGGAAATGAATAAGACAGCTTTTCCACTGGTGGTCTTTTGAGAAAAAATGCCAAGTTAATTATCATTCAGTTCCCTTCAGTTCGGCAATCCAGGAGACATCATTTTGTAGGGTTTAGTTTTGGAGAAATGCAGAGATTTAAAAACTTCACAATTTAGAGCTTCCTTTATGTCTATAGAACCTTTTAAATATGTTGTCTCTTTTAGTTGCAGTATCATTAGAGGTGTGTATTTCCACCTGGGGAGGGAGGACGAGGTCTGGAGAGCTGAGATGATTATGTGACTAGTGAGAGGCAGACCCCAAATTCAGTTTACTAACCAGTTTCCCAGTGTGGTGCTGGGCACTTGCCCACCATATGATACTTGCTGTTTGGTAAGCGTCATTCAGAGGAGGCAAGAGTGAATTATAAGTGTAACATTTCTGTAAGTGCTTTGGTAAATGAGTCATGAATCACATGGAATATTATATACTAATAGTATTTATAGAGGGAAACAGATTATATGGTACTTGAGTTTTCAGGCTTTTTGAGTTTCTACCATGGAATCCTTTCTTCAGATGAAATGCTGTCTTAATCATATAAAATGTGTAAAATCACACCATTCTGGAAAGGGGAGAACCCATGAGCATAACTACTTGTTTCTTGAGTTCTTGAGAATTTCTTAGAGGCTATTTTGAATACCTTTGTCTATGAAAACCAAGACCCAAACAGGATAAATGACTTCTCTTTCACATCATTTTATAGTACTGGGATTTCTATCACATTCCCTTTTCACTTATAAGATGAGCAGTAGTTTGTTGCTAATGAAAAAACCATGACGCTTATGAATCAATTAGTATAAATTCAGAATTACCCAAATAGTCTTATTCTCCAGTGCTGTTGGTGCCTTCACATGAGCCGCCCTTGCCAGTTCCCCGTCCAGCTTTTCCGCATCTGTGGCATCTTGCTCTGTGTTTTGAGGCAGACGCTGTGTGCTGTCTGGACTAGGCTGGCCTTTGCCTGTAGCGCTTTCTGCTAAGTTCTGAACACCTGCTTAAACAGGACAGTAGCAGAATTGGGATAAATGAAGCTCTTGGGGTGGGATGATATTTAGATCTCATTGAAATGCATGGTTTTCGTGCCTCCCAATTGTAGGGATCTCTTTTTTACGGCTAGCAGTTTATAAAGGAGCAGGCCGCTGCATGAACGTGAACGGATGCTAACCTTGAGACTGCCTCTTTATCCTCCCAGGAGAATCCAGCCCCACCCGCCGCGAGGCCGTGAAGCGGAGGACGGCGGAGTACCTGCTGCGCGTGGAGAGCATCTCGGGCCTCTCCCGGAGCCTGCAGCCTGAGCGTGGATCTCAGGTGTGGCTTGTGCTTTGCTCTGCATTTCCTTTAGCGAGTTCTTGCTGGCTTGTCTCTCAGCTTTATTTCCAATGAAAGTGTTTAAGAATTTTAGTTTCTGGATTTTTATCAGTAAGTTTCTTAAGTTACTGTGGAAGGAAGAGCAATCTTAGCCAACCAGCTGATGCAGAATAACATGGGGTTTGCTTTCTCTTTTTCTTGGTTCTTTTCTAGACCCTTTCTGTACCCAACCTCCCCCAGCTATAAAATGACACTAATTCAGACCTTCAGTCAGCCTGTATTTGGGAGCCTAGGTATTGGGGCTCGTAGGCACAGAGTGAAAAACCTATGCAAGAAGCTAAGTTGAGCTGAGCAATTCTGGTGTATTGGGACGTCAGGGTCTGAGTTCAAGTTTTTTGGTACTTTATTATTGTGTTTTCCTTTTGGGCTTCATGACTTATTTTCCCTGCTCATGACGATTGTCCTGTGTGCCAAAGAGGAGTCTTGCCCAGATAGGGCTGTGAACCAGAAACAGCAAGATGGGGCATCTTTGGAAAATGCAGGATCCTGGGCCCCACCAGTCCTTGGGCCCAAAGCTCTGTCTTCCCAAGGCCCTCAAGTGACGCTGGTGCACAACAGCTTGGGATGCATGGCACAGGCAGATGGGTAAAAGAGAAATGGTGCTCAATGAGAACAGGACACTATGCGAAAGAGGCTGAGGCAGGCTACATGGCAGCTCCAAAAATGAAACCCAAACCCAAAAAACCAAAGAAAGCTCAATCCAGAAACAACAGGTAGGCTTCACCTAGCCTATTAAGTAGGCCCGCATTGGTGCGCTGAACTTCAGTGCTGCTACAGACAACAGAAAGCACTCTGGGTGGGGGGGGAAGGTGGGGTGACAGAGATGTCCTCTACCTGGAGAGTGGTGTGGGTCACCCCTCACCCTCCCTGCCCGCACCCCCCCAGCCCTGCTCCTGCCCCCCACTCCTGACTACTGTCAAGGTGGTTGGGTCCTGGGACTCACAACTTGTGCTTACCACTGTTTTTAGTTTGAGTGTAGCTAAATGCAACCCTCTTTCTTCTCTGCATCGTCTGGCACAAAGGCCAATAAATATAACTGGAAAGCCTTACTCTTTTCATTAAGGAACTCAGCCATGTTGGCCCCTCCTCTTCTGAAACATTGGGTTTGAGTTACCCTGAGGACTGTAGTTCATGAGTCAGATTTGTCAGATTTAATTCCCTTGTCACTGTCCTTTTTAGATTGCTTAATTTGCTGCTTCTCCGTTTTCTCATCTGGGAAAAAGAAATGAAAGAAAAAAAAAGTCCCCTCCTCCCCCATGTTTGGCTTGATCTCTAAATTCCCTTTCTGTTCTCAAAAGTCTGTGGATTTCACCATCGGAAGAGGAAGAATACATCTATAGGATTCTACGCAATTTAAATGCTACATATAATAAATACACGATTTTTTTTATTGATGACTTTATTTCATGATCTTTCTTTCTTTATTAGTCTGATCTTAAACTTACAGAAGTTTAAAGAAGTTTGATAATCACTTGGCCTTTGGTCTTTTCTTACAACATGCTGTTGTTTGTGCCAGTCCTGTCTTTGCTAGTGTAGTCTCCTGAGTCATCCTTGGGTTCTTTCTCAAACTTAATGGCTTTTCTTCTTGGCATTCAAGGCTTCTTTTAGCATTCAAGACCTATAGTGGTAGACCCTAAATATATTTTTTATTTCATGCAGTTCTCCAGTTTCAATATTTATTCTCCACAAGGCAATACCTTTTTCAATCTTATATGCAGTGCCTTTTCTTCACTTATTTTTCACATAGATTTTATTTTATTGGAAATAGGGCCTTGCTGTGTATTCGAGCTGACTTTGGCTCACTGTATAGCCCAGGCTCAAAGCAATCCACCTGTCTCAGCCTCCAAAGTGCTGGGATTATAGGCATGTGTCACCATGCTTGGCTCCACATAGCATTAATTAATTAATTAATTAATTTTATTTAGAGAAAAAAAACAAAGCAGAAAAAAGGATAGAAATAATACAGAATTTCAAAAAAAGGTAAGAAATCACTTTGCTTAAGTCACAAAATCAAAGCACAAAAAGTGGACAATCAGACAATGACAGTACAAACCATTCTGTTTGATGAACAAAAACTGAGTATGGTTAACTGTGTTAAACACTAAAATCCACATTGCATTTGAAAGTCATGTTTAGTGCCACTTAATTCTGACACCAGCTTCTTATATCCTAACTAATAACTTATCTCTGTAGTCTTGTATTTTAGGAGAATATTTTGTTTTTGTTTATCCTTTCATGTAGCTGGCTTGTCTCTTCAAATAAGTGTGAACTTCTAGAAGTTTGGGATCATTCATGCTGTTTGATGATTTATATCCTGTGCAGCTACAATTCACATAGTAGGTGTGGAGGAATTGTTTGTTAAAAAGAATGGTAGAGATTTTTGTAGTTTGCTTTTATTACCTCTAGAGTTGCTGAAGTACATACATTTCATTGGAAACTGAAAGATTGATGGTCTCAGGGAATATCAAGGTTTAAATAGGAGTGAGGTATGTTAGAGGCATTTGGCCATGATTCAAAGACAAGCCTCAAGGATGAAATATGAGGTGTTCTTTGTGCTTCGTAAGTTCCCCCAGACATTGCTTTTGCCAAAATCCCAAGCCATTTTCACTCCTTTTTAATGAGGCGTAGCAGCAGCAGTGGCAGCAGTAGCATCTTTAGCTCTCTGAATATGCTGTGTGATAGAAGACTGTGAGCACCGGGAGGAGGAGTTGGATTTTGCCCAGCACTGTTCTGAGCTTCCCTTTGTTTATCTATAAGATGGGAACTGTCTTAGTTTCTTTTCTCTAGTTGCTGAGACAAATACCTAACAGCCAGAGTTAAGGGAGGGAAGGTTTTATTTAGTTCATGGTTTGTGGAGGTTTCAGTTCATAATTGCTGGCTCCAGGGCAGGGAGGCACAAGGTGGACAGGCAGTACTTCGTGGCAGTGGAAGACAGCAAAAGCAACAAGAGAGGGGTGAGACAAGCCTCTCTTCCTTATATTGATTGTATCCAGTCTATTGGGATTAGGGCGGTACCAGTTCAGTCAGAGAACTGGTCCAGCCGTCACCCACCCTTAATCCCAGCACTCCAGATCAGTCACACATTCTAGATTCAGCCACCTCTGAAAAAATTCTATGACTGAGTGAGGAGGGGGCATCTAGACACAGACCGTAACAGGGACCATAACAGACATTTCCTGTATGCACCCCAGCAGGGTGGGCAAGGGGTAAAGGTGAAATAATACAGTGTAAATTAAGATAGAGAAAATATTTCTGCTCTATGTCTGTTTGCATGTACAGTATTAAAATACCTTGATAAATGCTTTTATATCCTCAAATATTCCTCTTAGATTTAAGCTTTTTAGTACCTTGTGAAAGGAGACATTAAATAAATAAGTTGTTGGAAATATCCAAAAAGTCTCAATTGAGTTAGTTTCAAAGATTGTTAGCACATGATTCAGTAGCTATTATTACCAGTGTTCTTAAGTGTCTTTAAAAACATGGAGTGCCTTTTTTTTGAATATCATCATTTTATGTACAGTGCAATTACAATTTGCTTGCTAAATCTAAAAACAAACAAAAACCCCAGAAAGCAATTAGGATTGCCACGTGTAGCAAATTTCACAGGTGGTAGTTTTCCCAGGTGTAAACGCTAATTTATGCCCCAGCCTTCCTCTTCCTCCTGCTCCTCCCTGTCCTCCCTCACTCCGTCCAGCTGACCAGACCCTCGTAGCATGCCAGGCACCATGCGTGAGTCTTCAGTGTGAAAGGGGAGAGTGCGCTTCCTGCCAGGAGGTGGGGTGGGGTGGGGTGGGGGGGGATCCCTCTGTGGCTCACTGGTCTGTACAGGGACTCGAAGTAATAATCTGAAATGGTGTCTTAGTAGTTCTGTCCTCATGGAATTGATCAATCAAGATATTTTGTCTTCCACTCATGGGGCCAAAATGTTTCCTTTGTATACTAATAGTTTTTTGATAATAAGTTCTGCTCTAAGGAGCTAATGATGTTTTATATCCCTTCTTTGTCCTTTGCAGTCTCGTAGTTTTAGTATAAGGGGTTATATAGCAGGACTGTCAGGTGGCAAATGCCAAATGGAGGTGTCCTTAGAGAAAGTTTTTCTTTTTTTAAATTTAATAGCTTACTTTGCCCAAAGGGAGAAACTAAAGCTGTAAATGGAAGTTAGGATTATTTGTAGCTGTGAGAGTCACTCAACTACCCCTGCCTGTATTTATGGATCTTATTTTGGTGTCTTTTGTAGTAACAGACTTTTCCTTATCATAGTTATTCAAAGAAAAATTTCTTTCCCCTGTAAAGCATCTCTTACATATCGTAATTTTAGTAATTGTTGGTTACATGATGGAGTTTCTTAATGGTGATTTTTCAGATTGAACTTGAATCTGCCAATTCGTCTGAAGACAATATGGCATGAATTTATAAAGTGACCTTAAACGACTCTAGTTTCATGAAGAGAGAGGATGGCTCGTGTTCTTCCTTTTTCAGATCTACCCATTCATTCTCTGTTAGTTTCCCCCTCCTGTTGCTGAGCCATCTGGGGTTAAATTGTAGTTTGTAATTGATTATTAGCCCAGTGTTCCATTACTGACAGAGTTTCCTGATCGCTGCATGGCCTTAAATGGAAGCATTGCAGTCAGCTCACTAGTGTTTCTTTTAAAGTTTTTGTTTTCCATGTTATGATTTATTTACTCGCAACTTTTTTCTTGCTTTTTCTTTTTGATTTTCTTTACTTTTGATTTTTTTATTTTGCATTACAGACAAATAGAAACTTCCTTCTTTTATCTTTCCATTCTCTGATTTATGATAAATTGAGTTTCCTTTGGCCTGGCATTTGCTTCAGCAGGCAGTCTTCCTTCAAGTACCTCCCTGATTGATGTGTAATCTTTGATATCTTCCATTAGCCTCCAGGATCACTAAGTTCAAGGCCCCCTTGGAACCTAAGGAGCCCTGCCGAGGAGCTGAAGGCCTTCAGAGTCCTTGGGGTGATTGACAAGGTAATTCTTCAGTGTCTCTTCAAGAGTCCAGTCATAAACCCGACTGCATGCTGACATTCTGTCTTTGAAGCTTTGGATCTTAAGGATATGAAACAAAAGGAGAAAATGACTCAGATGCATCTGCACTTTAAAATAACAAAAGCATAAGAGAAAAAGCTTTTATCTAAGCAATTCGTGTAAGGTCATGCAAAATATATTTGAGCAGAAGGAGAAGGTGCATATTTGTTGGCATTCAGTTGAATTAGGGGTTTTATTTTATAAAAATGGTACAGCAGGAAGACATTTTGTGTTAAACTTGTGAGTCAGTGTTGTTCAATATTAATTGGTATCATCATTCAAATGGTCAGAAAGCGAAAGTAGTGTTGGATATCTCTTATTGACTACCTTTGTGGACCAGATCTTATATTAGGCATTGCATATAAAACAGTTTACTTAATTCTTTTCAAAATCCAACTACAGTATTTGCATCTTTGTGAGAAAGTGTTAAACACACTAAGCAATTGTCCCAAAGTCACACAGCTCATTTAGGGAAATTCTGAGATTTAAACTGTAATATTTGTTGAAGCCCCAAACTGTGATTTTTTTCCAGGGTTCAAACAACCATGCAAGCATATACATACTCTTATACTTGCAATAAATGATACTAAGCAACTGAGGTCTGCCATTAAGTACATGCATGTTTGGGGACATCTCAGGTATGCCCAAAAGTAGCAATTCTATGCCTTTTGATAGTTGATGATTATAACTTAATATCCAGAAGTAGTAAGTATATTTTAAATGTATTTGATCATCTACCACTTTACCATCATGGTAAAAGAAATGCCTTATTTAATACTAAGTTGTAAATTAATTTATTTAGATGTTTTTCATCATTAAACATCTTTTCTGAAGCATCTTGTTGATTTGTAACACTTCTTGTGTTGTTAAACATACATATGATTCTTCTTTAAAATCAGAACTGTGTAGTACATTTCGAGTAATTTGGATGATAAATAATGGTTTGTGGTGTTCTAAAGGAACTGTTAGGTAGCATATTTCATGAAGCATTGTTTTATTCTCACAAGCATCACTTTTTTTTCTAATTTATATAGTGAACATTTGAATTTAAGAATTCTAAGCAGTGTAGTTGGACTTTTTGTTGGTGTTAAAGAGTCTGAAATGTTCCCTTAACCATTTTTTCTGCAGCCTTTTCATTGTGAAAACATCCTGCTTGACAGTGTACGGAGACAAAATAGTAAAGGAGTAGTTGCTAGTGCTTGGATATCTATGCAGATAGCTCTGCTTCCTTGCTACGCAGCTTCTGCCTTCTCTCTGAGGTTTGTCTTTAACATGATGTGACCTTTCATTGCTATGCTGTAAGCGTCAAATCACCTGAAGTCCGGCTAATGGGCATGAAGGTTTGTCTAAAGGCTTTTGGCGGTGGAGGCTTTCCTGAATTCCATACTGCTGCCTAATTCCTTACTCATTATTCTGTTAATCTAGGAAATGTGGTTGGTGGTTAGCAGATGACATTTTTTTAAGTAGAACTAAGGAAATATGTGTCTTGGAAATTAATAAGGTTTGCATATAATCTTTCAGAATTTATAATACAATGTCTATAAAAACAGGGGTGGGTAGATTTTTAAAAATTGGAATTGTTCAGAATGAATCCCTTTCTGTTATACTGAGGAATATCTGACATAATGTGTACCGATAAATACATCTTGAATAAATGAGTTGAAATAATTTAAAATATATCATATATAGAGTGACACCTACTGGTGTAACATGAGACTGCTACCTAGTACCGTACAAGCTGACTGACTACTCAGTAGGTTTCTTTACCCAGAGGGGCAGTAATTCCATAGCTGTGTGTTGGTTTAGTATTCAAAGAGAAATAAATAGCTTCCTACTCTTTAACTAGGATTATAAAATCCTTCATTAATGTAGTTATACAACAAGAGATTTAAGCATTAAGACTCTTGGAAAATAAGGAAACTTGTGTGCATTCAGTTATAAAAATGATCAGGCCAGTGAAGGTCCTCAAAATCATATCATAGGAGGAGTAGCTAAAAAACAAAATGTTCAACCTGATAATTCCAAGTGGGGCTTCAAATATTTGGAGGCTGTCTTGGATAGAGGGACTGCATCATGTTTTTAAACTGCAGGGTGAGAGGATTTATTAACTATGCTGGCTGGAGCAGTAAGTGGCCACTAGGATCATCTCAGACAAATTAGGATGCCAGATTTCATTGGGAGGAAGGCAGTAGTGGAAGTTGACTGTTAAAATCATCAGCAGGATGCAGCTAAGGAGTACAAGCTCAAGAACAGTGAATTCTGCTTACGATTAGAAAGACTTTTTGGGCTGGGCATGATAGCACGTGCCTGTACTTCCAGCACTGGGGAGGCTTAGGTAAGAGGATCACTGTGAGTTCGAGACCAGCCTGGGATACATTAAATGAGTTCAAGGCCTGAACTATATAAGGAGACCCTGTCTCAAAAAGAAAGGAAAAGAAAGTAAAACAAACAAACAAACAAACAAAAACTTCATCCCTGTCCCCCAAAAGAAAAGAAAGATACTGTTGAAGAATTACTGTCTTGAGTCTGAAAATACAGAACAGTGGTAGAATGCTTGCCTAGGATATATGAGGCCCTGTATTCCACCCCCCCCACCCCAACTAGTACTTTGGTCAAAAAGGCAGGCTGAATTTCTTTAGCTCTTATAAGCTTCTTGTCAGTAGAGATAATTCAAGTGAAGGTTGCAGGTCAGTGGTGGGAATTCAAACATTGGTGTATTTTTACATTAGATAACTTTTTTTTACAACTTTCTTTAAGCCCTCAGACTCATTTATACGTGGTTTTCATGTTCAAAAGCAGGGGAAAGAAGAAATTAGTGCTAGAACAATGTTGAAGTGAGGAGGATGCATTACTTTTTTAATACAGGTTTTTGTGTATCTAGTTGCAATCTTTTGTGTTGTGTATGTGATATGAATATTTGGATTGTGTTTATGGATTTATATATAAGGATTGTTTATGTTTAGGTTAATTTGTAATTGGACTGGAAGTCTAGATTGGTCATTTGACCAGTAGTAGGACACTCAAAAGCCAGTGAGAAAGTTCACTATTGTGTAAAATAACTTACCTGTGAAAGCATAAAGGAACCTATAGTGCAGTTAACAGTGATGCACCAATTATCAGTTGCCTGGTTTTTATATTGTGTCATAGCTATAGAAGATGTCTCTCTTGGGGGAAGCTGAACAAAGGGTAAATGGGACTCTTTGTACTATTGTTGCAACTTCCTGTCAGTTAAAAGGAGCTTTAAAGAAAAATTGAAGGGAACACTGTCTTGAACGCCACAGCAATTATGCCAAGATTTGTGCCTTCACTGCCAGTTAACGCTTTTGGTTTAAGTGTTACTGGAGTGTCGTCCTGTGTATGAGTGTTCATGTGGAAGAGTGGTGAAGATGTGGCTGCGTTGTGAGAAATAACTTAAGTAGGTTGCTTTGCAAATGAGGGACACAGGAAGCCCCTGCTGCTTACTGCGTCCAGGGCCTCTAACTATCTGAGGTCTTATCTGATGAGGCAGTTTTTAGGTTAGCATGTCATTGGGCATATACTGGTGCTTCCATTTTGTAACTAAAAAATGAGTGAGAAAATTTGTGGAGCTTTTTAAAATTGAGTAGCTCTTGAAAGATTGGCACTTGCTTTCCTTAAGGTACCCAAGCAGTATCCTCTATGGAAATAATGCATCAGTATTTGGCTATTTTCTCATTTAAGGGTCATTAGGTTAAACTAGTCAACTTGAAAGGATCCTTGCTTCATCTAAATAGTGTGGCCAGAAGGTTACCTAGTGACTTTAATGGTATCATGTGACAATAAAATGTGCTTTTCCTTCTGGGAAAATAGAGTAGAGGTCCTTTGCCCTATTTCTTCTGCTGAATAGGACAAACTCTGAATATTACATAGAAAACAAAGATAAGGCTACTGAGAAGTGGGGAGGAAAAGGAAGCCTGGCTGCTGAGCTAAAGCACTACAAGGTGCTTTCTATTTCTCAGATGGGATGTTGGAGAAATAGGCAACTTGGATAAGCCAAGAGGTACAGACCAAAACAGGACAAAACCCTCTAAACAAAAGCCTGTGCTTTGTAGCCAAAGCTTAGTAAGACAAAAAACCTTAACCAAAACAATGCACAGTCGCTGCTGTGTTCCAGGCCAGCACCACAGAGAGACTGAGCCTGTTTCCATTCCCTCTAACAGTGGCCAAGTGGGGCTTCTGTTCCTCTGTCCTTGTCAGGATGGAGCCAGGTGCCCCAGAGTCCCTGCTGCTGCAGGGTCAGAGGAAGCTCCGGGAGATTCAGGACCTTGACATGGTAGTGTTTTTACCCAGGGGTGAAGACAATTGAGGAGAAGCCCCTTGTTTGTGGCTGCGCTGTATCACTGAAGGGCTGAGCCTCTCCCTTTGTGGAGCAGTAACTGAGAGTTCCTGTTTCTTTCCTCAGACAGCAATGAAGACCGAATGGGAAACCCGAACTCCAGTAGCAGAGGCCCCGGTCGCTCCCCATACTGGGGCTCAAACCTACGACCTTGCGCTTGCCAGGCAGGCGCTTGTCCGCTAGCAGAGTGATTATCCCCTGCCCCATCAGCGTGATGGCAGAGGCAGCGGCCTCTGAGATAAACACTTAAATAAGATCTCCAGTCTAATCACATGATGCCAAGAAGTCCAGCTTTCTGTGGAAAGTCAGCTGTCATACAGGGACTAGGAAGATCTTACCTTGAACCAGAAAAGAAAACCCATAGTACAAACCCTGAAATGACACAGGTGTTGGCAGGGTCTGAGGACTCCAGCAGTAGCCATTGTGAAAGTGGTTCAGTGAGCAGGTACACACACGAAACAATGAAAAAATAGTCTTAGTAAGGAATAGGAAGTATATATGAGGATATATATAGCTCCAAATGTAAATTTATATATATGTGTAAATTCATGTATGTGTAAATATATATATCTCCAAATGTAAATCTTTA